GGCATTCTTGCTTGGTTGTTCGATATTCTTGTTTGGTTTTTTGTAATATTTCATATTTATCTTCAGGTAATCAGGTTTGTCTCTTAGCTTAAATTTTTAGAAATTTTTTTCGGTTTATTTAAATTTTGTGTGAAACCTTGGTTTTGAAGTTTCTGATATTTCTGTATGAGGGCATGTAGGTCTTTTATGGAGTTTGATGGGGAATCTTATGGATCTTGTTGTATGTTTGGACTATGTATTTTCTAAGCGATTATCTGTGGATGTAATGGTGTTTAGCATAGAAGCATAACTTTCACCTCTCATATTCTTCCCTGGCAATCTGAAGTTTCTAACGAGGAATATTTGATCTGGTGTTATGATGGTGATGCATTGATATGTGTTCATATTGACAGTTGGCTCTAATGGAGCTCTAATGGTTATTTTGTTGATCTAGTTATGAAACTCTGTTATATGGTTATATCTTACGGTCGGTCTTCTAGAATTTTAAACAGTCCTTGTTATCAACGAAGAGCTGCATTAGACTAACTATTGTGTTGACAGACTTGAACCCAATTCAGAACGAATAAGTGCCTAAATTTTATATTATTCAATTTACCATATATATTGGATGTTGAACATAGCTTGAGGTAGATCCTGTGGCCCAAATTTTCAATATTTTCTTTTATGGCATCAAGAAATAAGTTTTGTTGTTAGTTCAGTTATCAACTGTACATTATTTTTTTCTTCTAAGATTCACTTAGTTGGAGCTTGCACTCAAATCTTATTAGAGATGCAATTTTGTTCTTGGTGTTAGTCTATTATTAGATAACTTGCCATTTGATATGCCCCACTTATATGATAAGTTCCATAAGTTGCAGACTCGAGATCCATTGGCATGTCACGCTCTTGCTTGTGCAAATGCTGCCCCAGACCTTTCTGGTGAGTTTGTGAGTAGGTTGGGATGTTGGTGAAAATTTTAGTATTAGAAACTTTATGTGCTATTTGAGATTTTTATTTTAATGAAATAAATGATTGTTTTTCTCAGGTTTAGGGACATGAAGCTTCAGAATTCAGAAAACAAATTTTTTGCTCAAATGTTCTAGAAGAATTATTTTTTCTTATCTTTTTATGTAAGATATTTTTTGCTTGAATAATTGGATGTAATGAATAATGACAAATGTTGAATTATTTTTATTAAAGTTTGTTATTTATTTATTTTGGTAGTTTGAGAATTAATTATTAATTCTTATATATTTTATAAAAATGTATTTCAATTTTTAAAAGATAAAATGATGTATTTCAATTTTTAAACAAATATGAGAATTAATATTTAAATTGTTGTCTATTTAACAATTAAATAAATATATACAAATTTGAAAATTTTCAAATATTTTGAACATTTCGAACATTTCGAACATTACGAATTCGAACGATTCAAACAATTCGAACAATTCGAACAATTTGAACTATTTGAACAAAAACGAACCGAACACGAACACGAACAGACTCTTCACGAACAATTTCGAACACGAGCTTATTTCAAACAAATTATTTTCATATTTCAAACAAATTATATTTCAAACGAACCGAACACGAACATGAGCACTATTCGTTCGTGTTCGGTTCGTTTACACCCCTAGGGGAGACCTACTCATCCAGACAAGTTGATAGTGGCTCTCTTCCTACTGCACAACAAGGAGCCCAGGACATGGAGCCTAAAAGCAATAGCAGATGCATGGGGACTTTTAGCTACAGTTGATGCCAGCAGGAGGGACGGTCATTAGACGGCCCCAACTTTGGGCAGTGAGTTGGGAGAGGATGCTCGTGGACCTTGGGTCCTTGTATCTCAAAAAAAAGTCCGCCTAAGCGGGGCAAGTCACGAGAAACTACAAGGCAAAACTAGATAGTGTCCCAAATAGCTACAATCCTAGTAGTCCCATGCAGGCTGTCGTGGAGTCCCAGCCTACTTCAGCATTGGTTCTCCACCTCTCATTTTCACTTCTATTGTTGACTCTACTCGTGAGCCAGTTCTGTACAACAGATCCAGTCAAAGGCGAAGCGGTGCTAGACATAGCCGAGTTTCCAAGGCTCATTTTGTTTAGGAGCTGACCCAATTAGGCACATTACAACTTACCATAGGAGAGAAGATCCACAAAGGAATTACTAGACGAGGAGGTCATAATCTCCACTGGGGTCACTTGATTTTTCTTTCCCTGGTAACCTCCTATGCACTTTTGCCCATAAGTGTGGGATAGTGAGACTTACATCTTCGAGCTCAATACGGGAGCACTTGGACATTGACCAGCCATTGAGTGTTTTATACTTTTTTTGAGTGTCCCTCCCCCTGGTACGTTTGAATTGTTTGCCTTCACAACCTCAACCCTTATGGAAAAGCATATGGCTGATCACTTGATGGAAGTTGAAGCTCTATTTTGTGCAAAGCTCATGTTGGATGCAGAAGAATATTATATGTAATATTCATCCTTTCAAAAAAAAAATGATTATATATATATATATATATATACATACACTAGCAGTGGGTAACATATATATATATATATAGACACACACACACACATATGCCGCGTAACCCAACATGATGGTTGGCATCCACGGTATAAAACCCCTCAGGTCAGGGGTTCAAATCCTTTCTCCTCTTACCAAGTTGGCCTTGAGGAGGTGGACAAAAAGAGTTAGATATTCAAGATGAGTTTCAAGTTTATTGATCTTTTTTAATGAATTCCATATAACTTTCAATTGATTCCTTCTATATTGTACTCATCTCAAAATCAATTCAATCATTCTTAAACCCATCCTAGACAAATTTTAATCAATATGTCAGTTCAGATTCTTTCCAAACACAACCGGCATCGCCTTTATTGCTGCTCTAGACTCTCTCTCTTTTAGGGGAAAACAAATGAACATTTCTCAAAATGTCATGTACTCAAAATGGGATTAAGTCAAATACTCCATCCCATATGGATGAGCTGTTAATATTGATTAGGTAGATTTACATACATCTCACTCAATTATTATGTGTTTACATACTAACACCTATACTTCAATTTTTTACATATTGACATCTTACCTATGCAAGAAAAAATATATCTTATATTTTAAAAGTTAAAATAATGACAATTTTTATGTGATATGAAAGATTTGAGTGATATAAATATAAAAAGAAAAATTTAGGTTTTAGATATGTAAAGATATAAGAATTGGGTGGTAGGAATGCAAATGCCGCACTATTGTTTATCACTGCCCTTTAAAAAAAATTTTTAACATCATTATCAAACACAAGTATCGACATATACACATAGAATCAATATAGAAACCAACTATTGAAATGTGCTCAAGACTAAATCAAGAGTCTAACATACCTCACCAATAGTATCAAGGCCTAGGACCTGTTCTAATTCTTTTCTAGAGCAGCCATAAAATACAAAGAAATTTATATATTTTCAAACCCAAGTCTAATATCTATAAATCTAGAACATCAGGCTTCATTAGTAAGGGAAAATATCAGCAACATATTGTCATCAAGGGACGTATCAAACAAAATATTACTATAGAAACATCCAGTAAAATTCTAAAATGATCGTTAAGTTGCAAAATTTAAAAAAAAAAAAATTACAAGTATGCAAAGTTCACACCTATAGAGTACACAATCAAACAGCTATGTACATAGCACAGATCCAATTATTTTGCTCAGGGCCGTCAAACAATCACCACACATGAGCTCCTTTTGTTCCTCCAAAAATAAAGGCGATTGTGGCAATAACAGCCTGTTGAACAAAGATCAAACAAAAGTAATGAGCGAAAATATACACCATTTAGAAGAACGCCTAATACAAAAGAGATGTAAACTGCGCTGCTACCAAGTTTAAGGTGATAAGGATAAAAAATTTGATGTTTAATTTTGTCAAAACATAACGCCAAATATGATGTGAAAGACAACAACAGGCATGCAAGGCATGATTTTTTATCATGCAACATCTGAAAAGATCAACCTTAGGACATTGTAAAGCAAAAAAAAAAAAAAATTGTTAGGTTAATTATTATTGCGGGGCATAACAAAATTTAATTTCCGATATGAAAAAGATTAAAAAAAAGGGAAACTTACATACATAACGAAATTCTAACATATTTAAATGTCTAACACCCAAAGTTTCATATTTATGCTTATGACACCTTGGTTTCATAAACATATGCATGAAAATGTGTATTTTACATTTAGAGAGGTAATGATGTTGATATTTTTGACGTGATACTAAAGATTTGAGTGATCTGTATGTAATTATGAATGTTTTGGTGTTAGATATGTAAATACATGAGAATTGTGTGGTATGTATGTAAATGCCCCCAGAAAAAAGCTTACTTCTTGGATGATGAAGTTGCATCGAACATTTGATACAACAATGTCCCAAAAGAAATTAGGCTAACTTGTCTCTTGGGAGTTCAGTATATGATTTGGATGGAAATCTATTAGTATCTACATGTTGAGAGCATTGAAATTGAATTTTAAGAGGAGCATGCTCAGATTGCATAGAATTTTCTTTTAGTTTGCATGGTATTTTCTTTCAATTTATGATAAAACATGCAAATGATATTGATCTTATTGAGAATGAGACATGTTCTTCAAAGTTTTGGCTTCTTTTCAAGGTTAGGCGAATTGTTGCAAATGTCTCAATCCAATCAGCATCAAGAAAGTTCTTATTTTAGCATTCAATGTTCATATTTCACCGAATTTCAAGATTTCCCTAAATGCTACTTCCTTTCCTATGGATTTTTTTTTTACCTATTGCTTTCACTTATTCTTTTAGTGTTGAAAAAATGTTGTAAGACTGACAAATAAGTTCTAAGAGAAAGTGTCAACAAGTCCTCAACAAAGAGGAAGAACAAGGACATATTTCAAAATAGAGAACAAGAATTAAAAATCCCTTTGCTATATCATGAAAGAAGAAAAAAAAGGAAGGATGAAGGAAGAACGAAGATTGTACACCACAACTTCTCAACCCAACTCCAAATCCGAGGGACATGAGGCAAAAGAAATGCCTTATGGAATCCTTTTAAATGCTATGAAGAATTGTTTTCAACTTTTGAAAAATTGATAAAAAAAAGTTTTTATTCAAATAAGATGAATTCTGAAGTATTAAAAAACAAAAATGAAACACTAAACTATGACTTGATTATTTTAATGAAAAAAATTAGAAACTATGAAGCACAAATATGGGTACAATGACAAACACAAACACAATGATTTTAACATTAATGTTAGTTTAAGAATAAAAAAGCCACTCAGTTTAATTGTACTCCTACAAAATAAAAATATTGTGTGGTGCCACTTGCAGTATTACATAAGACTATAAGTACGATTTTTCATATTAGTGAGTGTAATCTTTTGGGATGCAAATAATCACTTGCACTCTTTTCAATTAATCTATAAATATTGTGTCTATCATATCTTTCACATTTGTGCACATAGTTTATGCACTAGATAGTGTATTTAATTTTAAATTCATAGCTTACAATGTGTATTTATTTATATATTAATTAGCTTATATGGTGTAATGAAGTATATAGCTTTCTCATTGAATTATATTTTGATAGTTTCGAGTTGCAAAAATTTTAAAAGAAAATCTTTGTGTCCTTTCTAACAAATTACGAATATAAAACAAGCTATTAATTTGATTCTTGGATCCTTGTTACCAAATTTTTCATATCATAGAATGAATGCTAGCAAGCACATTAAAATTAAAAGGCCGACAGATAAATGCCATACAAAAAGATTTATTAGGTGGAATATGAGCATTTGTTGTGTCTGCACAAAAGAATGATAGGAATTGGAGAATATGTTCTGGTAGTAAAAAAAAATCATAAAATCTTTATCAAATGTCGATCTCACATACCAATGCTTGATAAAAGATGAGTAGGGCCAAGATTTTTTAAAAAATTGAACTAAATAGTTACAACCAATGATAAAATAAGAGGAAGAATCAAATGTTGTTCTTAGAAAAAAGACTGGTCTGTATAAATGAATTGTGATGCATTTAGATTAAAAAGAATGAGAAGCATGAACCATGTTTTATGACCTTTTTTTTCAAATATTGTAACACTAGCAATATTCATTCTTTACAGCCAATCTAGAGAGCAGTATCAAGTACGTCATAGGAAAGTCATTGAAAAGTTTGCAATTCGAAAAATATATATAAATCTGAAGAGGTACCATTATTGCAACCATTTATCATATTTTTTGGAATTTATAGCATCATTCAAAGATTATCAGTTGGTATTGAAAATATTAAAACAATTAAAGAGTAGACAACACGTACTGATTTGATATTTGAAGTTTCCCTTATTTGGCTATTTTTCTACGGACAACTCACAAAGCATTTAATATCGCCTTGGCACCAACTACTCAAGCAAAATTTAAGCAAAGAAATCTGTCAAAAGTGCCTTCAATGGCATTAAAAAGAGACTTGCTAATATGTTTGTAGTAAGTTATCTGATTTTAATAAACTTTTTGAAATTTCTTATGGCGTATCTGCGATCATGATTTTTTTTTTTTTGAGAGGAAGGGGAAGGGGGGAGTTCAATTCACAATATACATCCAATTGCTTGCTTTAATAAAGTCTCGAAAGCAACACAAAGTACTTCAATGATTTATGATAGCGAATTCAATCTCGTGGTACAATCATGTGATATTAGAGGCATTATTAATTATTAAAGAAATTTCTACAGAAATTTCTCCTATATTTGAATCATCAAGCTATAAAGTATTTAAAATCTCAAAAAAAAAATAAGGGCACATACATTCTAAATCGGGCAGAGTTTTTATAAATACATACAATTGCTTTAAAAAACTATGATAAAACTAAAAATAAACTTGTTGATAAATTAAGCAGGGTTGCTATCATCTTACATAAAAGGAAAGGTGATCGATTTCAATCACACTAACTAGAATTATGTCAGTTGAAAGGGTTTCGATAAGATATATCATGATTTAATTAATGTTACACCCATGCTTAGTAGGGATTTAATGATTAAAGATAGGTAACTTTTAAGAACTTGATTTGCATATTTAAAACGTCTTTATGAGATTTTTTATCCTGGAATTACATGTTGTCGTTACTGGTGCAAGATATTTTGATTTAGAAAAAACTATAGCCATGATTAAGGATGAGTGTTACTAGTCTAGCTTGAAATGGGATATTGCATGAATGTCATAATGTAAAATCTGCCAAATGGATTAGGTGGTGGGGGGGGGGGGAATTAAATTTAAGCTTAACGTTTTACATAAAGCTTAGTAGGATATTAATATGGCCCTTTTCAGAGAAAATATTACTCTATTTTTTCATTAGGTAGATTACTATCCAGAATAGTTCATTTCCTTACATATTTTTTAAGTTGTTGATACATATCACATTGCAAAACTATTACTCTAAATTTAAGCTTAACGTTTTACATAAAGCTTAGTAGGATATTAATATGGCCCTTTTCAGAGAAAATATTACTCTATTTTTTCATTAGGTAGATTACTATCCAGAATAGTTCATTTCCTTACATATTTTTTAAGTTGTTGATACATATCACATTGCAAAACTATACTTTAAAGAATGGATAAACTGCACGTATTATCTAAAACTATTGCATATTATAGTCTAAGTGATGTGTTACATGTAGGGTTGCAAACAATCCAAGTGGAGTCATGTAGGTGCTTGTTCAAGCTCAAGCTCAAGCTCATTAATTAGAAGCTTGTTTGAGCTCGGCTTAAGTAGAATATAAGCTTTTACAAATGTGTTCAAGCTCAAATTCATTTATCAAAGCCCAATTCAAGCTTGGCATGAGCTCGATCCAAGATCATTTCATATAAAAATTAATGAGCTTATTATAGAGCTGTTCATTCAACAAAATAAACAAGTCTTAATTGAGCCTTACTCAAGCTTTATAAGATTAGTTTGTTTGGAAAAATAAATTAGCCGTATCAAACAAAGTATATTGACCCTAAAAAATAGATTATTTAAACTATATTATTCGTGAATGAGCCTTAATAGACCCTAATCGAGCATCTTAACGAGCTTTAAAACATATTGTTCATGAACATAAATAAACTAAACAACAAGCTATTTAAGCTTATTCATTTAGCAACCGAATATTTATGAAAGTGTTCAAGCTCGCTCAATTAGCCAATTGAATGATCATGAACACGCTCTAATCGATTTAAGCCACAAATAGGTTGTCGAATGCTCGATTCATTTGCAGCCTTAGTTGCATTATATGATTAAAGAACACACACCTAATTTGGATTTCATACTGCCTATGATTGAGTTTGCATATAATTCATCTATTAATAGATATATGTGTATGTGCCCAATTGAAATTATCACAAGAAATCAACTTAGAAAGCCAATAGATCTTGTCAAACTACCAATTGAATCCATGCAAAATGAAATTGAACATCATTTGAACAATATATGCATCATTTGTATGAAGATAGAAATAGAAAAGCAGCTGTTAAATATAGCAATTGTGAGTCTACTAATGATGTAAACTGAAAATTTGAGAAATTCAAACTGGTTGATAAGATGTACATCTAAACCCAAAATACAAAATTCTTTAAAAGCCTTTAAGAAAATACATACAAAACAGGGGTATAAAATTTACAAAGCATTGAGACTAATGCATATAAATAGAATATCTCAATAAAGTATCAATTTGATCTTCAACATATCAAATTTGATTTTACTGCATAAAGTTATTGCGAACATCATTGATTGCACTCTATATTCATCCTCAACTTAAGAGTGCACATCCATAATCTTACCAAATAGGTGTAATTAGGTTATTTCTCAAGCTATTATAGATAATGAGGTTATGCTAATTATCAAAATATTAGACGATCCTATAAATTAGCATGGTAAACACTTGATTATTTTAAAGGAGGAACATTAGTTATACTCAGGCTTATTGATGGATACCAAAAAATCAATTCCTTAAAGCCAAATTTTACAAAGCCATATAGATTTGACGGAAATCTAGAAATGTGTAGTCATTGGAAGCAAAAAAAAATGAACTTTAGGAGCAAGATTAAAATGCGTTATATTATTTTTTAGTTCACATTGAAATTTCTTTAATTTATGCTAAAACACACCTATGATGTTGATCCTATTGAGAAGTAAAAACGAGTTGGGTTCTCCATAATTTTACCTTTTCTTTAGGTTTGGTTAACTTTTGCAAGTGTCACAATTCAAACACAATCATCAATTGAACTTGTAGAGTTTCCTATTCCGCATAATTTCATGATTTTCCAAAGTGTGCTATTTCCTTTCCTGTAGTTTCCTTCCGTTTCATCTCCTATGATGTATGCTACAATCATGGGAGCCTTGTAAGATCACCGATTACTACAATCCCAAAAGCCTTATGATGATGACAAGCCATATGAAGATGATGTAGCACGCCACAAGGGAGTAATGTAGGGCCACTCTAGCGATGTAATGCTCAGAGCAACTGACATGCGGAAATAAATTTGCTAATGATTGATTGTTTGGAACTTATTTAACCAGTTCATGCCAGTTCTATCACGTGAGGTTATTAATCTATTAAGTTCAAAAGGCCAACTCGCCACATGGTGGGTGCCATTAGTTTAGCTGGTGGTTTGGAGCTTATTTAATCAATTCATGTTGGTTTGGTCATGCTAGTTTATTTATCTTGTAATGTGGCCAGGTGCTGAGAAAACATATGTGGTTGACATTCATTTATAAGGCTTGAATGATAACTCATCGTTAAATTTCAATTGAGCCACACTGTCGGTCATATCAAACCAAATGACTTATGGAGAATTTTTCCATCAGCAAATCTTAAAATAATGAGGTCAATAGGCATCCCTGAGAAGCTTCTTAGAAGCCAATGTCAGAGAAACACCAACAAAGGATGCGGTATGGAACATAAATGATGCAGTGAAAAAAAAAAAGGTTTATAAAAGAGCTCATAGGTGACTCTTGGCGAACTTTTCATACATTAAGGAGAGGTGTACAAGCATCAAACAAGCAATTTCTTCTCTTGGTGTTAAGTTTTGAGATCTTTGGGTGAGGGTATCTAGGGGATAAGAATCTTTCAGAGGTGACATCTTGAGTGAATAGAAATACAATAGCATAGCTTCATGGTCAGCAATGGGTTGATCTGGCATGAAAGGAATTGAGATTGAATGAAAGAAAAACGGAGCAAGAAATGCAAAAGCCTCTTCAATGCAGGAAAGAAGATCAATGACAGGTTTGCTTCCATAATGGGTTGGGTCTACATTATTGTATTTTATATATTTCTTTTTATTTCTATTTTTCAAAAAAAAAAAAAAAAACACTGATACGATCAGAGGCAAAAAATCGACACAATTTCATAGAAATTGGGGCAAAATATATATATATTTTTTTTCTTAATAATCCAAAACAACATGAATAAGATAAACACCTATAATTCGAGAGGTAGGCGTTTTCTCCCAATTCCTACACTTTGAGAGGCAGGAAATCTCTCTCAAACCCTAAACCTAAGACTCACAATAACAATCTTATGCATAAACCTAACCCTAAACATAATAAACATATTTATACCAAATAATAATAATAATAATAATAAAGACTAAATAGCCCTTAGGTTAGGCACCGACGTAATAATATTCTCTCTCCTCCCCAAAAAAAAAACACCTTATCCTCTAGGTGGGAAAAAACGTGCTCCTACTCCGCCATAGTTGTCGCTATTTCTTCATCCTTTACTTCCTCATCATGCACTATTAGAACTTATAATTTTTTATCCTTACAATGATGTATTAGTGTAAATTTCTCATCACACCTAAAATATAACCCCTTGGCTCATTTCTCCTAAATTTTTGTCTCTATAAGGTGCTTGAGTACCGATCTCGGTCGTGGCCCATTATTCCTGTTCAGTGCAGCCTCCCTATTGACTTCCACTGCTTGAGCATTTGGTATCGTCGTAGTTGTAGCTGTTTGGTACGACGCTCCATCTATGTTGTTATTGCTTGTCTTCTCCATCTAATTTTTGTCCTCGACCATCTGGGCTAACTTCACCTCCCTCAATTCCCGTGGTCTCACGTATGTCGGGCTTTAGACCCTTTATGAAATTCCCCTCCAACCCTGCTTCAAAAATCCCCCTCAGTCGTCCCGACAAGAGCTCAAATATCTCCCTAAATTCCATGACAGTCCCCTCCTGAATCAAGACATATAATTGCTCGTGTAGGTCTCCTTCATGAATGGCTCGGAAACGTTCCAACAATCCATCCTTAAATTCCTCCCACAACAGATTGGATATCTAGTCTCCTGCACTGAAACAAGATTAGGGTCTTCCCTTCCAAACATAACTTTGTCGCCACAAGCTTCTTCTCCTCATCTAGCCCATTCCTCGTGAAGTATCGCTCCACCAGATACACCTACTCATGCATGTCTTCCCCCCTTGAAGATCGGTATCTTTAACTTCCTAACCCTAGCATCACCACCCCAATTTTCCTTTCCTACGCTATTTTCTCCCATATATCAAGGATAAAACTCTTTCTTTCGATCATAACCATACCCACTCCTGACTTCTCTTCTTTCTTCTTTTTGCTCCTCCATACCCCTTGCATAACCCTTCTCCATGTTATGGCTCACCAACCTCCATAAAAAATCTCTACTCCGCCCCCTACTAGAGCCCTTAAAGGAGGTTCTTGATGGTGGATGCTTTCCTCTTAATATTCCTCTCATTTGATCTCTTTCTCTTTCGATTTAGCTAATGAATCTCCGATCAACCATTGGGTAGGGTTTGCAAACTGAATCGTCAGCGGGGATTTGGATTGCATCTCAATGAGCTTCCTTAACATCTCCTCCAAGCTCTTGAATCAATTGTCAATGGCGGAAAACCTTTCCTGTATCCTGGATTTATGTTGCCCCACTTCTTCCTCCAATTTCTTATTCAAATCATCTATTTTCTTGGCAGTCATTACTTCCTGTCACTGAGGCACGCTCAATCCCAGATCTGGTTGTTGAATTCTAGGATCACGATTAAGGCACACTTGATTCTCTTGTAGCCTTCCCCACTATGCCTTGACCCCTTCTATTTCCCTGTAACTCGAACCACGATTGTATCGCAAGGCCTCAGTCACGACCCTGTATGATCTTGTCAGCTCCCCAACAAAAACAAATTGTGACTCTCTCGCGTTAATGCAAGTCGCAATCCCATCGACTCCACCAGCAGGCTCAAATTGCGATTGTATTGCATCTTGTACGCAATGATCCCATTGTTTGCTTCACCTACAAACTCCTATATGCCTATTTTGTGTGATGCTTCACGAAGAAAAAGGCGCAACTCTGTAAGCAGCATCTTCACAAAATAGGTTTAGTGATCCTGTCAATCTTTACAACAGATAAAAGACGTGATCACCTCGTCGCTTTCCCCACTAGCTGAACTCGCGGCTCAATTGCATGACAGATGTGAGGAGAAAGACGTGAGTTTTGTGTCTCTGTACGCCACTCCCAGTTGTTGCCTCCCTAGCTAGCTCTAGCTGTGATTGCTTCGTAAGGACGTAGTGGAAGGAAGAGAAAAATGGGATTTTTAGGTCTACGTACACCGATCCTAACTACAACATCCCAGACGAATGCAGAATTGAGTGATTGTATCGCTCTATACTTTGAAAGGTCGCCCACTAAGCTGTGATTTACTTCATTTTCCGTCGAATTGTTCCATCTCCTTTCTGTCCATTCAATTCCCAAAATCTTAAACTTTGATACCAATTAGATCCGATCTGAGACAGAAATCAACACGATTTTCCACACAATTTTGGACAAAACAACATGAACACAAATAAGCACCCACAATTTGAAAGGCATGCAATCTCTCTTAATTCCTACAATTCGAGAGGTGGGAAATTTATCTCAAACCCTAGACCTAAGGCCCACAATAACAATCTCATGCATAAACCTTACTCTAAACATAATAAGCCTATTTATACCTAATAATAATAATAATAAAAATAATAAAAGACTAAATTGCCCTTACGCATACAAAAGGCCAAGTTGCACTTAAGCTAGATATCAGCATAATAATACTTTATTTCATTAATAATCAAAAACAACATGAATACGAGATAAGCACCTACAATTCGAGAGGTATGTGATCTCTCCCAATTCCTATAATTCAAGAGGTAGGAAATCACTTCCAAGTCATAAACCTAAAACTTGCAATAACAATATCATGCATAAACCTAACCTTAAACATAATAAGTATATTTATACCCAACAACAACAACAACAACAACAATAACAACAATAATAATAATAATAGGCAAAATTGCCTTTAGGCTTACAAAAGACCAAATTGCCCTTAGGCTAAGAAATCATTAAAAAAGATTTTAAGGACCAAAACTTTAAAAAACAAAGAAAAATGCAAAATAAAGGAATAATTTAGGTGGATAATACTATTTTTATTACAGAAATTACAACAAATATAAAGCTTATTAACAGTATTTCCAAGTTTATAGCATCTTATGAAACATATAAAACTATATCAATTCCTCAAAATGTAGAAAACATAACATGAAAATGTATTTGACAGGAATCATCATAAGGTAAGGAGTAGCTTTAGGTTAAATCATGCTAAAATACTAGAAGAAAGTAACAAATGCAAAACTAAATGATCATAACAATGATACTGAACCGATGTACTTACTGCAATTGTGCAAGCGACGTAGCCTGGTTTTTCTCTATGATCAACTCTTGTGGCACACAGCATTATAAAAGCTGCAACATACCACGGAATAGCAGCAAGAAAGAATCCAATGATGAACCTTGCACGAAAAGAAAAAGCACAAGCAATATAAAAAAACTGAAGTTGCCAAAATGGTAAAAGACAATAAGGACATTTACATACAGACCACACAATTCTCATGTATTTACATATCTAACATCTAAACTTTAATATTAACATTCATGGCAATCAAATCTTTAACTTCACATCAGAAATAACACTTGTACTAACTCTTTAAAGGTCAAATGCACCTTTTTAGGCACATGTTTATATCTCCAAGGTGTCATGAATGTAAAGATCAAACTTTAGGTGTTAGATATGTAAATCCACAAGAATTTTGTGGTATGTATGTAAATTTCCCAATATTATAACAATACAAAGGAAAAGATGCACTAGAAATACAATTGATCACAGCTTATAACATGCAATAATAATGCACTCACAGAAACCATCCAAGGCCAATGCCACAACAAGGCAGACGTGGCTCTCTCAAAGGCCTTCCTTCAGCAACAGCAGCATAGGCTATTAAAATAAAGAAAAATAAATACCATGAAGATGAATCAGAAAAGTACAAAACAAAAAAATGACTATTTGCAAAAACTATGATACAACAATAACAACAATAAACCTTTATCCCACGAAGTGGGGTCTCCTACATGAATCATTTTTCTCCATTGTGTCCTATTTAAGTATCATATTTTCATTTATTTCTAATAAATTAAGATAATTTTTATACAACATGCCCAAGTTTTTCTAGATCTGCCTCTACCTTTCTTAACATAAGTGTGATCTAAAAATCCACTTTCCTAACCGGGTCATCAAATGATCGACCATTAAAGTGACCTAAAGATCTAATACCACTCTCCTTAATCTTATTTGCCACTGAAGCTACTCCATCTCTTTCATGGATATATTCGTTTCGCATTTTGTTTCTAAGTGTAAACCCGCTCATTCAACCAAACATTCTTATCTCAGCAACACTCAACTTAATTTTATGCTTCTTTTCTATAGGTCAACAATCTGTGTCATAAAAATTGCAGGTCTTACCATCATCTTATACAATTTTCTTCAAGTCTAAGCGATACTTTTCTATCACACAATAGACCCGATGCATTACTCCACTTCATCCATCCAACCTGAATTCTACTAATAACATCCTCATTTTTATCACTATCATTTTGAATAATAAGCCCGAGATATTTAAAATGTTCACTCATTTTAATGATTTGATCACCTTTAATTACAATCACGTCACCAAATCTACTACTAATAAAATTACATTCCATATATTTAGTTTTTAGGCTTACTCAAATAAAAGCCTTTAAACTCTAAAGGTGACTTCAATAATTCAAGTTTTTCTTAAACTCTCTCTAGCATTATCTACAAAAAGGATATAATCGACGAAAAGAAAAGGTACATTCGTCTGTAAATGCCCAATAAAAACATCCATAACTAAAGAAAAAAAGATATTGTCTTAAACATGACCCCTGATATAATCCAATTGAAATAAAAAAATACTTGGTCAATTCTCCTTGTGTTCAAACACAAGTAACAATTGTAGTATAAATACCTTTAATGACTTAAATATAAGCAATATCAACATTTTTCTTTCCTAGGACTCTCCAAAGTACTTATCTAGGATCCTTATCATAAGCTTTGTCTAAATCAACAAAAGTCATATATACATTCTCTTTACTCTATCTGTACTTCTACATCTAACCACTTAATAAATATATAGCTTCCATATAAAGACGTATCATAACTTTAATGTATAATACATTAACTAAATTACTCTATAATTTGCACACCCTTGTGCATCCCCTTAATTCTTAAAAATAAGAACCAAAAAACACTTTCTATACTCATCAGACATCTTTTTAATTTTTAAAATAATATTAAAAAAGTTTAATAAACTACAAACATTTCAGATCTAAACATTTCCATACTTCTATTAAAATACCATCAGATTTTACTATTTTTTCACATTCAATTTTCTTTAAAGCCTCTTTCACTTCAGTATTATTAATACGATAGCAGAAATAAAAAGTTTTGCTATTGATTACAACATTAAAATTACTAAAGTTAATCGTATTTTCATAATTGTTATTGAAATATTTACCAAAATGTCTCACCAGCGTATGTTGAAAATTCTCATATAAGAAAAACATTTTTTTATTTTCATCTTTAATGCAATTTATTTGAGCTAAATCTTTACTATTTTTTATTTCCTCGCTAGTCAATATATATATATATATCATTTTTGTTACCTAATCTATTATAAAGATCACTAAAAACATAATTTTCAACATTGCAAATGATTCTCTTAGATTCTCTAAGGGTTACCTAATATTTTTTACAAATCTTCAAGTTTTTACAATTAAATCAATTTTTATAACAAAATTTGCTTATTTCTTATATTTTCTTGCATTTTATTATTAGAACTCTAACTATTTTTATTCATAAAAGCTTTTATTTTTTATTCTTCAAGCATGTCTTATGCCACAAAGCTGAGAAGCACACGTCAACTATGTAAGTATACGTATAGTTAAGTAATATATGAATTTTTAAGTTTGTGTCGATCGCACAAATGATTTATTCCAGTAGGTGAAAGTTCTTCTTTACTAATTCTAGGTCTAGTCTGAAAAGTCAAAGATTTGAAAATTTTAAAGTGTCTAAGCCTAATTTTTACATAAAAAAACAAAGGGGTAGGGTTTTTGTACTAGGTAAGAATCACCCTCCTATGATTTAGATTTAGATCGTGTGAATCCTCAATATTCTTCCAATAAGTTTTCAAACTAATGTTATCAACCATAGTCAAATCCTCCTTGGTCGCTTCTAAGATCATAAGAAACATTGAAAACTCATATTGCGGTTAAGTTGGCTTAACCATGCAAAATTTTCCTGAATCCTTTAGTCCCCTGATTGTGGTTGCAATCTCCTATTGACAATATTCACATTCTACTAAGTGATTGTGTTATCCTACTAAGTGATTGTGTTATCCTACTTATCCTTTTAGCCAACGGTCAGTAGTCCTAGATCACCAAAAATTTTAACATTCAAATTGGTCAGATTGAAAGTAAATGAAGATCGAAAGGATAACGCGTTAACTTGCATTTAAATCCAAGAAATTCTTAAGCAAATCTCATGAAAAATCACGATTCATATACATCCAAATCAAAGAAGCAAAAAAGATTTAGTTCCTAGACATGTTGAGATAAAACCAAACAGATTTCACAAAAGAACCAAATTAGAAAGAGTTTATACATGAATAATCTAACCAGAAAGTATAATTGTTTTGCTTCGTTGATTTTCTCCTTGTACAATGATCTCCAATTGATAGCACTCACACTTTACAATGAAGAAATTGTCTCACTAAACTCTCCCTAACACACTCCATAATCCCCTCCAATTTATCATCCACCCTCTCACTATGCCTCAGATGGTCTTAACTTTTATCGGGGGACGTCGTTTGAGATCAGTTGAACTAAATTTAAGTCATTTGGCAACCCACATAGACAAAAAACCAAATTAACTCCCATATGTTGGTTTGGAGCGCCAGGTTTTCAGTTGTTTAGACTAGCATGTGTATGCGAGAAGGCTGGCTGACGTCGGGTATTTATGTGGGCCTCAGGTTGCTCATGCCTAAGCGAATGCCTAGTTTCCTTGTGAGGCGTCGGGTTACCCATACCTGAGTAAGCACTGGGTTTCTAAGTGTGGCTCTGGGTTTTCAACCTCTCTGTTATGTGAATGTGTAATGTCCGGAAGTCAAATCATAGGGTTTCCGCCTTCTCTGTTGTCACCTGATCAAAAGAAGTTTGTTAAACAATGGATTTCCACTTTGAGCAATACTTAAGTTCTTTTTGATCCAAATGCTCCCCTTTCTAATTTGCAAATTGCAACTTGAAAAAGCCAGAAAAAATACCAAGAAAAAACATAAAAATAATACAAATAGTGGTGTAAACACAGAAAAACACATCACACATTTCATACACATCATCTTTTACAACTTACTAAATATTACTCGTTATTTTATTCTACATAGTATTAGCTTCTTCATAATACTTCAAATTTTAAGATATTAAAATTTATTCATAAAAATAAATTTATTTATATCTTCTAAATGCTCATCTAATTCTATGATAATATTTAGTTGTATTTTTCATCTTCCAACCCTTTATCTTAAAATCTAAAACTAATAATCAATGTTGGCTACTTAAATTTTCATTTGAAATGATTTTATAATCTTTATAATCTCGATGATATATTTTTCTGATAAGAAAATAATCAATTTGTATTTTATTAGATCTATTCTTATAAGTGAAAATTTATTCATCTATTTTTAAAATAAAGTATTTATAATTTAACGCAAAATCTAATATGAGTTTATATTCTTTATTAGGGGTTGTTTGGTTTGTTGATAAAGTAATGCAGTGTAAAATGAATGTAATGCAGAAGTAATGTAATGAATTTGAAATACTTTAAAATTATATGGTTCTCTGTAAAATAAACATAAGACTATATTCTTTTGTTTGGTTTAAAGAAGGATGAAAACAATATATTTCAAAATATATAAATTATTCTTGGAGGGTGGTCGGTGGCGTGCGACATAGGGTTGAGGCAACTGACAATTGATGTCAGCGACCGGCGGGTGGCGCGTAGCATACAGTAGAGGCAACAGACAATTGACGTCAGCAACCGGTGGTGGTGGGCGGCGACGGTAGTGTGGTGAAGACGAACCGCAGCTGACAGCGGTGATAGACTACAACGGGGGATGGCGGGCTGTGGAAGCAGGTAGCATGTTGTGGCGAACAACTTATGGCAGGCGACGGCAAGCAGCAACAAGCAGCAGTGGGCAGTCAAATGATAGTGAGGAGGGGACGATGGCAAGTCGCCGGTGGACTACAGACTGTAGAGATGCGGCGATGGCAGATAGCCGGTGGAGAAAGGCTGGTAGTGGGTTGTAGACGGCAGACGACAGACGACAGACGACAGACGACAGGGAGGCAGTGGTGGAGGTGGACTGCAAGCGGTGGTGTAGACAAAGGACTATAGGGGCCTGCAGCGACAACAGGTTGCGTCGTCTTCCGATAATATTTTACATTAATGAACGGTGTAAATCTCAAATTCGGGGCAAATCGGTATAATTCAAAATTAATTCAAAATGAACTAAGGTGTAAACTTCAAATCCATTCATAGTTTATATTGTATTTGTATTTCTTCATACAAAACACATCATTTTCTAAAGTCACTACAAAAGATTTATAGTACACTACAAATTCTCTCAATAGTCATTCTAAAATCATAGTCATCTTGAATACTTCTAAAGCTTCTACCACTCTACGAACAAGTTCATTTAAATCTTCTCCAATATAAATTCTTTCTTTAAGAGATATTATTTGTATTAACTCTTCTAGATCATTTCAAAATTATTTTTTGGGCATATATCCAAACCTATTTAAGGAGCATAAACATTTATAACATTAGAAATCTTAGTATCAACAATAATTTTTAGAGCTATAATA